TAAGAGTTCTACATCATACGACAGTTGATTGACAAATGGTCCAGTGGGACCTAAGGCTCCTTTAATAGCGCGCCTTCGTGTTTAAATGGAGAGTGCATGAACACTGCGGGCTCATTTTACTGTACTTGCCCGCCTGGTTAAACAGGAGACGATGTTATTGAATGCAAAGGTAGGAGATCATTTTTGTATCACTGCTGTGTTGGCCGCATCATTCAACGTTAGTACTGTGCCTGAATGTTCACTAATTCTGTGAGCGTTCAATATGGCATTTTAGTCGATGGGCTAATAGTAGTGTATAAAGGCCGGTTCTGGGACAAAATCGTTAAATTATCGAACATCTACGTTAATTTAACGGCAAATCAGTTTACTCACGCTCATGAGTGCTCATGAGTCTGGGACAAAATCGTTAAATTATCGTGAATTCACAATAATTTATCACTTTTGTCCTTTACATCAAAAGTTTTTTCAACTCACGACTCATGAGTTGAAAATTTCAAAGGTGTCTACTTTTCTTTACTCAAAGAGTAATGCCCATAAGCCAATGTGTGTATCCCATCGTCCATTATAACATGTTTATCATCATTTGCCGACAAAGCGGCTTTACTTATCTCTCGCGTAAAAATTTTATGCTTATGACTTCGAATGACATGCATCTTTCCAAGCTGTTCTTTCTTTGAAACAAACATTTCTTGTAATCATCAGGAGTAATCTTCTTCTTCACGACGCTTTTTTCACACCTTTGCATTTTTGGCTTTCATCACCTTCAAACAATTTATAACTATACAACTTTCCTCTTAACCCCACAAACTCTATGATTATTAATTGACCAGTCTCAATTTTAAACATTCCGATGACTTTCTTATTTTGTCCAGTTTTTTTCCAGAAGGATGATTCACATCAAAGTTACTCGTATCAAACACTGTCTTTACATCAGAAGCAATGTCTTTGAAGAAATCACCAGTCTCAATCTCATAACAGAGACTGTCAGTATCAGTAAAAAAAAGTATGGCTCTTTCACCGTATTTTAGTTTGATGTAATTATAATGAAAATCATGAAAATCTTGCTCAAATTCAGAATGCTCATCCCAAGATAAACAGGCTTGTTAAATATTATCTCAGTCTTTTTCATGTTCATCGCCACCAAATTCTCAGAAAAGATGGTACAATTCTTGCAATTTGGTTTTGCTGCCAACTTCTTTGCACTCTTCTCATTGTTCACCAATCGCAAATCAATCCGATTTCTCAGATTCTCCATGGTCTTTCCGAAGACTGAGTTATTCATCAACTCGAGAAAATCTTTTTCAAATTCATTCTTGGCTTTTGAGCGCAATCTGGTATTCAAGTCGATATATTCTTTCATCCAATCACTCTCTTGAAATTTTATCCCTCTGTGAATCTTTGTGAGTTTCATCCCCAACTGAAGATACAACTTGAGATTTTCATCATGAAGAATATATTTTTCTTTGTCGTTCAAGTTGGGAATCAACTTCTCCACATTGTCAATCTTTTTTCTCTCAGGAGCCAATGGATAATTATTGTGCAAGTCATGCAATTCTTCTGGATATAACAAATCAACCTCTAGAAAACACGAACTGAATTTTGCCAATATTTCAATTCAAATTCATCCATCCACACAAAGCCAAGTGTTGGAAGTTTCTTTGCCATTGCCCAACCATGAAGACTATTTGCGTCAAGATATGATATGAATTTGGATGCTTCATTCTTGTCAAATTTTTCACCCATATATTTATTATTCGCTCGACCATATCGATTTGAAATCATTGAAATCTCATCACGAGTTCCCTTTTCAATCATCAACAACATGTCAGACAGAGTTAGACAGGAGTTCGAGTCTCACTCCTGTCTTTTTCAAGCATGCATCCCAAGCCAACCCAGGCGCAGTATAATACCAAGCTGGGTCGAGACCGTAGTTTTTTCTACAAACATCACGAAAATTTTCAAAGACATCACACAAAAGCAACACATCTGCTTCGTTGTAGAGATTGTGATAATCTCTCAAGGTTTTGCAACCGAAAACTCTCCACACCTTTTGTGCATGTACATAATCTTCTTCAGAAATACATTCTCCATTTAGTGAAGGAAAAAAAGCGCTTCTCAATGGTAATTCAATTTCATCTAGCTTATCAAGTTTATCCATATATTCATAAGGATAAACTCCTTTCCTCAGCAAACGATCAAGTTTTTTGCCTTTGTAATACTTTTGCATCGTTTTGAATCTCTTCTTTGAATCTGATGCTAGATTGGAAACCAGTTGTTCAAGACTTAAAGCCATAAACTTCAAGCTGTCAACAAAGCGCAATGCAAATGTCACATGTTTTTCTTCACCTTTTTCATCGACTCTTGTATCAACCTTTACTTGCTTTTTTATTTTTCTTCATTGCTGGCAATACAATCGATCTTTCCCCATGTCTCAGCGAGAGATTTGATGAAGAGATGAGCGTCATAACCACTCATGTTGTGAAAGAAAACGCGTATAAATTTTGGAACTCTGCATTTGAGGTTGCATGATAGATGTGCTGCACCTCTAAATTTTCCAGAGAAATGACAATGATCTCGAACTTTTATGTCATCATTGCTGAATCGCCCACCACAAATCCAACAATTCGTGGATTTTTCATACTCATTCATTTCTTTTTGTGAGATAATCATGTCTTTGACATTTTCATATCTCTTTGATAACAAATATTTTTGATAACAAATATTTGATAACAAATATTTGGGCGATGTCTTCATCTTCAGAGGTTGCTGTGTAACTAATTTTTTTGGAATATTTTTCATCAAACGAGCAATGAACGTTGTAACAAAAACTCGAGGGCTTATGACTTTGAAGATTATTTATATAACTCTTTCCAGGATTTGGTTGAGCTGTGTCAATCGGTTTTATCAAAGACTCAAAATCGGCATAGATGACGAAAGGCATGTCTATCTTTTTGTGATTATCTTTAAAATAGAGGAACGAACCTTCGTTTGGCATAGTAATTTTTACCGTCTCATTGTCTTTACAATACTCTTCATGTTTGTTCAGCAAGTCTTGTCTTCCAAAACAATTGAAGCATCGTAGGCAGAAAAACTTGTTGTTCTTTTTATTTGATTTCTGAGAAGACAACAACCTACCCATGTCATTGATGAGACAATAATGGCTTTTCTCATCGTCAGATATCAACAACTCTTGCAAAGCCAAGTTTTTATTCTCGCTTACTCTCAAAGGACAAATCTTGCTTTCATATCCAAGGACATTTACACGCAGAGTAGGGTTCAACTTCTCAAATTTATCAATATCACGTAACGATTACGGGAACTTTAATCTATTAAAGCATAACTTTTCACTCTGCTTTCTCAATATTTTTGTGATTCCTTCAAGATGACTTGTCACAGGATGTAACGCACTCGTCACACACCACTTGAAACATTCTTGGCCTTTTTATTTGCGAGAACTTCAGGAAGTGGAATGTAAGATGAACCACCTAATGGGTCATTCGTTACCGTATGGATTTCGAATCCCTCAATTACATCAAATGCCCAGTTACTACCACGCATTTGATAGTTTGCTAACCTCTCAATCATTTTACCTGTCATCTTACTATAAAGTTCATCTAGGTTAGTCGCTTGATAATTTGTTTCCACATTTGATAAAAAATGTGCAGGTGTGTATTCAATTTCACCCGTAGCCAAATTAGTTTTAGACATGATACATTTCAAGATAAATTTCAACTTGATTCCTCTACGTTTTTCTAAGAGAGAAATCGCCGTCGGTTTAATAGCAGACAAAAATTCAGTAGGGCCATGACCACTTCACCTTCAATTCTATATTGAACAGCAAACTTTTTCAATGCTGACTTACTTTCAATCAATTCAGATATACGCTGTTGTTTTAGCTGGAGCTGCTTAGGATTTAATTTATTCAATTCAGCCTCAAGGGAATTTCTCTTGTGTTTATTATTTTTTCCTCTGCGTGAGTTGTGTGACTTTTTGTTCAATTCTTGTATTTTTTTTCTTGAGGCGTTTTATCTGCCTCTCTTTAATCTGCTTTTCATCGACTTGCGCCAAAAACGGAGCATTTTGTATTTTGATAAAGTTTCAAGTTCAACCATTTTATTATCTTTTCAGATTTTTTAAGATATTTTTTTAATTTTTTAAAACTTTTCAAAAGTTCAAATCTTATTTCTTCATTAAAAATATCAAGTAAAAACTTAACATTTTCGTTATTTAACCTGGCTGTATGTAATTTTGTTAAAAAGCCATATAAATCAGCTTCCATTATTACATAAAGCTTTTTTAATGGGTTATCAATGTATTTGTAACTTATTAGCTTTCCTAATTTACAGTTGTAACAACTTCTTTTTCATCAGATATAATGTTAACTAAGACTTGAGCAAATTCTTTAGGCAAAGCACTTATTAAATTTTTTAAACACTCATTTTATGTTCCCAACCATCTCGTTTATATTTTCCTTCAGATATTTCATCGTGAATTGCACGAAACAATTTATCATTTATTGAATTGCTAAATCTCTTGAAAACTAAAAATAACCAAGTTTTTATTGTACTTGGTCAGATCATTAATTTATCTCTTTTTAACTTTTCAAGGTCTGTAGCATTTTCATCATATCCAATTTTAGATTTTAATTGATCTTTGAGTGAGGTATTATATGGTAAATCCAAGTAATTCATTTTATATGTGATATATAAAATGATTTTTTTAAAATTTAGTTTAAATTTTCTAAATCTTTAAGATCAATCCATGAATTGAATTTTTCTGGATAACCATTCCACTTTACTAACGCTTTACCAGTTTTACCATTCCGTGGAATCACTTTATCAACACGGAAAATGTCTTGAGTGGCCTTCAACATCTCTTTTTCATAGAAAGAACCTTCAATCTCTTCACCACCAAAGTCTTTTAGTTTATAAGTTATTGGGTTGGTGTATTGAATCTTATTAACCACAAAAATCTCTTCAGTGCAATTCGGTGTATAACCTTTGTCAAAGACTTTTCTCTTGTATATACGATCTTGATCACCAACTTGAAATTTTGGTGTGGCCATGCGTGGCTCACTCTCTCCATACAATTTTAGATAAACAGCACTCTCATTCTTTTTCTTTGATGCTTCAACAGGTGTCGTGCCAATACTCCCACGTTTAGTATTGTTGTATCTTTCAACAATCTTCGGTAGAATATCAAGATATTTTGTGTTGTTTTGAATTGTAAATTGTTTCCACATTTTGTTTTTGATAGTTCGATTCCATCTTTCACGAACGGAAGACTTCTCTTCATTTTCAGTCGAATACAACTTAATTCCGTGAGATTTCATCAAATCTTTCACGTCTTTGTTGTAATATTCAGAACCTTTATCAACCCAAGACAACATTCTGTAGTCTTCGTCCAAAAAATCATTCAATCTTCGTTTAGGTTTTTCATTCACATGAGTATCAAAATTTATCAATTTAACCATTTATTATCATTATTTTTAATTTTATTTACCTCAAAGCTAAAAAAAGCTAAAAAAGCTAAAAAAGCTAAAAAAAGCTAGAAAAAGCTAGAAAAAGCTAAAAAAGCTAGAAAAAGCTAAAAAAAGCTATAAATCTTATAAAAAATGACTTAAAGAAAATGAAAATCTAGAWAAAAACCTTGCAACTTACTAGTCTTGAAAAGCTCAACAAAGAAACTCTAGATAAAAACTATGCAACTTACAAGTCTTGAAAAGCTCAACAAAGAAACTATAATTTTCCACGAAGCAGTGGTTAACCAACATAATCACGAAAGGATTAAAATCGAGGTGAAACAATACACCAATGGTAAACCTGGTCCTTTAGTGATTGAAACCCCTTTTCTCTTTTGCTTTGGTGTACAAGAGAGAATGGATGGTGAAAACAACGCTGTTGAAGGTTACACCCTTCCTGTTTGTTTGTGGGGAACCGAAGGTGAACCAACACCAGAACAGCGAAGCTTTTATGATGGTTTGAGACGTTTGCAAAATATCTGTCACGAATATCTCGAAGAGAATTTTGAAGCTGATGTGTCAGAAGCTTTGAGTAATATTCTGTATGAGAAAAAATCGAAATCTCCAATTCTATATTCCAAACTGATTTACTCCAAAAAGTTGAAAAAGATCCTTTCGCTTTCCAGATCGAAAGATAACCCAAAAGACAATCCGTTTGATTACCTCGAACAACATTGCAACGTGAAAATGGCATTGATTATCGAATCAATCTACATAAGCGATATTAGCGTCTCAGTTCAAATAAAAGTGAATGATGTTTATGTCAAACCCCTAAAACCCAGAGAAGCATTAGTCACAGTAGAAGAGAGCGACGATGAAGAATAATAAATTTAATACACATTCAAGTTCTATCACCTGTGTCAGGTGATAAAACACGTGCTATTACGTCATGCAAAATGGTGGTTTTAACCAGTTAAATCTGTAAAAACTTGGCAGTAAAAGCGTTATCGTTTTTACTATATTTTATTAAGAAAAAAGTAAATGTCGTTACTACGTCTTGAATTTTTCTTCATACCCTTTCACTACGTGGGTACTTAGAGTTGGACAAAGGTCAATGACAGTGTCATCTATTATTTTCATCTCGTTGACAAAAGAATCATGATCAAAATGTTTTCCTCGCAAGCAAGAACGCAAGTCGCTCAATACTTTTTGATATGTTGTGTAAGCCTACTTACACATTTCAATCTTTGGTTCAAAATTTTTGTATTCGCTAAATGTTTTAAATAACAATCCCACACCAGCGATAACTCCAAGTGTAATTGGGTTCAGTGTAATTCCACCTACGATTGTACCAACCACAATGATTATGAGTTTTGTGTTATCGGAACCATTAACTGTAAAATCAGCGTTATTACTCTGTTTTACATTTTTTGTATGATCTGATGCTCCATTAATATAAAACTTTACTCTAGAACTATTGTCATGAGCAAGACTGCCTCGATACCAAATCTTTTTTTTCGTATTTGTTAGCGCTGTTTTAGTTGCTCTTGCACTCATTTTTGTTTGTAAAGATGTTTTGATATCATCGACATATTTCTCTGTCGTCGCCGGGTTTTCAGTTTCCTGTGGTTCATTCATCAAAACCATTTGTGGATAAATGTACATTTTGCTGTCAATAAACGAATACCATCTATCCCAAACATCCTCAGGTAAACTATTGTGATATCCCTTGCTGCCGTAAACCACAACCCAAACTGGTAGTTTCTGATCATATTTTGAAATATTTTGTTTGAATTTCATTACAATGTCAAACATAAGATAATTTGGTGTTGTGTTACTCCACTTTGTCATGTGTATGAGGGTTACTACATGATTGGAAAATCGATTGCTGCGCTGCCTTGAAATTGTCTCAACAGAGCCTTTGGCAGATAGAGTTACTGAATTGAGATCAACTGACTTTTTTAGATTCCCACCACATTTCACACACGACGGGGTATTCTGATTTTGCTGCGCTGTACATGTTTATTCCAAATCTACTTGAATAATAACCTTTTGATGAATCAAGATTAAGTTCAAATGGTTTTACCTTCTTATAGAATTTATGAAAGTCTTTGTTTGACATTGATTTACCACTGATATCATCTTCATCACTAAATTCATTGCCAATAACACCATTCATAATATAATCGAGATCGTTGTTCAAATAAGGTGATAATACTGTGAGCAAGATGGTCGTTGATATGTTTTTCAAGGTTTGTTTTGGTCTTTTGTAATTCACCGTCGACATATGTTTTGTTGCACAAGTCTGTACAGGCTGATGGCGCTGCTGAGTTGATTGCTTTTTGACCAAGATCAAGGTTTGCAGTCATGGACTGGCTTCCATCACCACGCTAGTATTAGGCTTTTTTGCTATCTCTATGCTGAATGTGGTTGTTTCAAGTTTTGCACTCAATCCATTTATCATTACGTCCGCATCAGCCTTCTTTTTGAGTTCAATATTTAACTTATTCAAATTTGGAAAGAAGAAACCTCCTACCTGTCCAGAGCCGAGAATTTTATCCATTGCAAAATTTCCCAAACTTGTTGTAGCACCTGTTGCTAGTGCAGGTATAGCTTTTGTAACCAAATTCATTGCTTTTGGTAATAGTTTTGCACCCATACTGACAAGTGATGACAACAAACTCCCACCTTCTTGAACAACTTTACCGATCTGTGTTTTACTTATTTTGATGTCAACACCTTTTTTCAACTTCAAGCTTTGCTGGATCTTATTAATCCGTGTTTTAGTCAACATCAATTGATCGAGACCGTCCAGTTTGTTATGTGAGAGGCGAATAGTCAAAGGTGATCTCTTCTCGAGAGCTTTCGCTAAATGATTTCAGTTTTTGATTTTCAGATAATTTCAACACCATATGGATGATATGTTGTCATTGTGTTTTATTATATATGAATCATATATAATAGATTTTTTTTTGATAAAGGTGAAAGTTGTTTTTATGTTCTGAGGACAGCCTTTCCATTACCCGAATCAAAACTCACTTCTTCTTCGTTAAGTATCAGTGCATATACAATATATGGACCATTAGCCACACCACTAAGATCGTAAGATAATTCTAGACTCGTCGAGTTATTCTTGAGCGAATCTGCCTGTTTTGTCAAATCAAAATATAGAATATCGTACAGACCTTTGAATGACTTAAGATCTACAGTTGGGCCAGACAGTTGATCATTGAAACTCTTTTTGTATTCTGTCAACATCCTCCATACTGTTGACATTTCATTAGTTGGGTCGATTGCCTTTTGTGGGTAATACGTGCCAGTACCCAGCTTCAACCGTGCACCTGTGATCGTTGCACCACCAGGAATGTTGTAAGTATCAAAAACAAACATATTTTGTCTATGGTCGTCCATCTTTGCATTATTAAGAAACCAGACAAAGACGTGCCTTGGTTTTCTGATACTATTCGTAATATTAAAAGTGTGTTTTCGCAGTTGAGTTGTTGTGGTTACAATACTCTCATTAAGGTAAGACCATGTATGAGTTTTGAGGTAATTTTCAAGCAATTTTTTTTTCAGGTTTGAATTCAATTTTTGGAACCCAGAAAACAAATTTTTCGATAATATATCTACCATTAGCCGCTGCTGTTGCTCTAAACAAAACATTATCATCACTTTCTAATTGTATTCGAAAATCGACTTTTCCATTTGGAACGATTTGATTTTTGAATGACTGAAAAAAGCCGAAAAGATTCAATGGAAGAATGATATTATTTGTTGCACCACCAGCAACAAGTACCTTCCTTTGTGTAAACACATCATTATAATTAGAGTTATCTGTTGGTGCAATATTCTGTGCGTCTCCATCAAGTTGAAGTGTAGTACATTTTTGAATAGCTGCTCCAGTAGCTGTATCGGGGTAATGAAACATTGACGGGCCTACTTCCTGCTATAAACCTTTGAAAAATCTATGAGATTTTTGACATTGATAGTATGACTAGTGTTTTAATTTGCGAGTCAAAGACTTTAACACCATCAAAGTAAACTTTCATCTGTCCTATTATTCCAAACCCACCATTTATAATTGCAGCAGCATCAGCTGCACCGTTAGTTGAATTGTCCATTTTCGTAATTTCCAAGTCGATCTCAAATTAAGCATTATACCAATCTATTGGTACCTCCTCACTAGTGTTATCAATGCTAAATTGATAGCCGCTTTTGGCTTGATATGCATTATTTCCAAGGATAATTATCGGTGTTTTCAAATTCACTTGTTGATAATCGTATTTTTGGAGAAAATTTCTGAACGATGACATTTTTGTTATTCATTAATATATTTTTTTATTTTTTATAAAGTTAACAATTCTTCAAACTGTTTAGATATAGATTTTTTTGGTATTGACTTTGTAGTCTTTGACTGTTTTTTAGGTTGATTTTGTGTGCTCTTTGAGTTCATTGAGCGATTTAATCCCCTTGATTTTCATTAGTTTCATTAACTTTGTTAGTACTAAATTTGTCATAAATTTTTTCTCCAATTACTTGTCCTGTTTTCTTACCA